AAATTAGTTAGCATAAATCAGTTAAATGACGAAAAATTAGGTGTCTATTTACTTGTGACCACTCAGTGTACAAGTTTTTATCCACTGGTAAAATTACTCTACACTTAATAAGAAAACAAATGCATTCCTTATAAGTTATTTATTAAACTCTAAACAAAAGTTATACTTAAAGGTATGTTCTTCAGGCTAATTACCTCATGAACAATGAGCCTTTCGAAAGCTGTTAGAGTTGATGGAAATGAATATCTTTCTTCACTATCAGTGGTTACAAATTTTTCAAGTGTGTCTGTAATTTCTTTCCTAATGTTTTCAGAGTCTGTGCTGTAATAAAAAAAAAATTAACAATTACAGTATATTTCTATGACAGGAAAAAATACTGATTTTATAGACATCATGAGAAAATTAAATGGACATTGTTAATATATAACCATCTTTCTATTCAACATCTTAACCAAACCATTCAAGATTCTATTGTCTTTAAGTATAGAAATAGAACATTTTTGATCTTTTTCTATTAGAAAATTGACAAAAACATTTTGTTTAAAACTTCAGAATGATGTTATTAAGTAACTTGTTACAATAACATATTTATTTTTTCATCCATTGTTAGTGATAGGTAATATTCTTTTATATTTATGATTTTTTAATACCCAACTCAATATTATACTTATTGGTAGTAAAATATAAAAAAGCCTTTCCTTTGAAAATATTACTTATATTTTAATCTTTTCATAATTTTTACCTGGTGTGAAGGCTTTCTTTTGTTGAAACACAATCATCAGTACTGTATTTTCCATCTGAAGCTAACTTTGTAGAAGTTTCCTCTTTCTTATTTTTGTTTCTATTCTTTTTACGTGCCTTAGGTTTCTCAATCTGCTTTGTAGAAGACTCACACGTTTTTTTCACTTCCTTCTGATAATGCAACTTGGCAGGCCGGCTGGATGGAAGTAGCTTCAATTCTGCAATTAAAATTTTACTTCATTTTTAGTACATTTTCTCCAATATAACAATACTCGGCTAAAATATCCAACATGCACACACACACACACACACACAATTCAATCTAAAGTTATGATATAAAAACGATTATTGACAATTTTCAACATTGCTGTTCTTCTATCTTGTCCACTGTGGAAAAAAACAAAAAATGATTATGACCTTAAAATAAAACAAATTAAAAGCGTTTGAGAAAGACATTAAGAATGGAAGACTTATAACTGTGTATCTTTAGTTAAGTTTTCTTTCTTGCAGTATGAAAGATATATATATATATATATATATTTAAATAAACTATCACTTTGGAAAAGATCTGCACAAGTTCTATTTCTATGGAAGAAAGACAAGGGTTTTAATCCTTCACTAAAGTTTATCACTCACTCGAAAATATATAAAGTATTCCACATAAGTTTTGTTTCTCATAATCAAAGCTCAGCTGAAGAGTCCTGGTATTCGACAAAAGGTTTCCTGGGCAGATAATTGTGTGAGAAAAAAAAAGATATGAAATTCTATTTTTACATATTTTTGTTTGAAATCCAAACTGGTAGATTAAGAAGGATGGGAAAACAGAATCTGAAGTCTTGATTTTTAACTCAATCATTAGGCCTATTGAGTTCTATGCTTTATCAGCCTTTGTCATTCAAACCCTAGTGTTTTTAGTTATATTGACTATTTCTGTAGTAAACCAAGTACTGCACTGAGAGAGAGATATGTCATTTCCCCTAATATTTGCCGCATTTCTGTTTTCATCAATTCAAACTTAAAGCATAATTTTTATATGTTAAAAAACCATAAAAGTGACAGTGACTTTAGAAGAAACTTATTAAATTGTTTCTAGGTTCAGCTTAAAAAAACATGATTTGATTTTGTTTTTATATGAATTTTAATATTGTAAAACTTGAAAAATGTTGATGAGAGATACTTTTGAAGAAACATTAAAATATCTCCTTTCATATTAAAAGTTAAGTTTTTTTAACTGTTAATCAGAAAGTTCCATTTCATATATATATAATCAAATCTAAATTCAATGACACTCATTGATATATTACTTTTGATACTTTATTTTGCAATTGCAACAGTCACCATTTTTAACTATAAATGATCAAAAATTCCCCATTTACAAATGGCATTAGGCCAGACTAGGTAACAATATTTTTGCTGACAATATTCTTGGTCAAGATAAATTTATATCTAATAAATAGTTTCTTTTCACTAAATAATAAATTATTTTATTAATATGCATTGTTTAAATATGACAAACTTAACAATTTTATTCAATATTATTATTACATACGTTTTGAGTAATCCTGAACAGTTGCTAGATAGAATCAAGTCAAAAAAGATGATTATATTAATTATGATCATGTTAAGAAAAAACTTGGAAGTTTCATAAATGATATGACTCGTGGGCCAGATGATATTTCCACAAGAGATTTGAAGGAAGTTAAGAACTGGATATGTGAGCCACTTACTACTCTCTTTTTTTTGCAAGTCCTTGAACAGTGGGCAGGTGTCAGAAAATTGAAAGTTGATTCAAAGAAGGTGATAAAAATTGTCCTGATAATTATAGGCCTGTTAGTCTTATATCAGTGGTAGGAAAAGTTTTTAAAAGTCTAATAAAAGATGGCTTGCAAACTAATCTTTTGACTTTCTTTGAAGAGCTGCTGCTTTTGTAGATAAGGGTGGATTTGGTGTGTCTGTATTTTCAGAAAGAATTTGACGAGGTGACAAATAATAGGATAATTAAAAAAAAATTATCTCCAGAGATTGGGGGGTGATGAGATGGCTCATTGGAAAGAAAAGTAGCTGGGTAAAAGAAAGCAGAAGGTTGTTATAAATGAAGTTCACTGAATCTGGATAAATGTCCCAAATCAGGTACCTCAGGGCTCAGTGTTAGGACCTTTAGATAAAAAAATGGTCAATAAGTTATTCAAAATTGGTGTTGCTAGAGGTAAGGAGGATGCTGCTGTTTTATAAAAAGGATCTGGATTATTTGGTGAGTTGGGTGAAGAAGTTACAGATGGCTTAATTATAATAAATGAAAAGTAAAGTACATGTTTATCATAATTTGAATTCTAAGCATAATTTTGATGGAAATAACCTTAATGGTGTTATGATCAGTCTTTTAACACATTTGCCACTAATGACATATTAATGCATTAATCAATTCTATTAAACACTATTAGTTTGATAACATGTCAATCAGTAAAGGGACTATAACTACATGTTAGCGTACAAATACACAGTCCCTTAGCACTGTACAATGATTATGTGTTTAATCCCTTTTGTGAATGACAGAAAATGTTATTTACTAAAGCTTCAAATCACATGATTTGATATTCTCACAGTGGTATATTTTGGTTACTATTATGGCTACAAGAAGGCTGGCTTGCACAAACATTTTAGTCTGAGTGAAACAGTGAGTATTTTACAAGTACAGAATTTAATTTAAATTGTTCATTTTTACATAGACATTACTGAGGCAATATCTAATTTTATAACCTTCAATCATATTTGTTTATGGAGCCATAAATTAGAAAATCAGTCCTACTTGCTATGCCCACCTGTCACATGATCTCTTTCATGAATTGCCAAAAGTTCTCTCTGACATTTTATACTGAATATTATGTATGATGTATTATGTGACATTTTCTATTTCATCATTCAGTTTCAAATTTATTCTCACAGCAACTAGCTTAACTGCATTTTTAATGTCTCGTATTACACAGTTAGAAAGACATACAAATTATGATAGTTATAGGACATTGTTTTTGAGTTTACTATTCTGTGATCTTAGGTGCATTATGTAATTACATAAAAAATTATTTGGTGTACTAGAACCATTAATACAAAAAGTAGGTTTAAGTTTTATCGAAAGTCAACAGAAAAAAATGAAGATCCAGGTAAATACTATATTTCTTGTTTTGCATGTGTAATCTTTACTTATTAATGTAAAAGTAACACGGTTATATTAGGTAAAATAATGAAATAATAATAAATAAATTCTCATGAGGTATTCTCGCAAGCAGCTTGTGCATTACAAATTTGACATGGCAATGTGAGCTGCATGTTGGGTTGCATGTTTGTTGAGTGTATTACAACTTGTGTGGCAGGATTATTAGTTAGACACAGTTCAAAGGGCAATAAAACAATACAATTAATTATAAACAGATGTACATTGTTAAGAGCTTTAAGCATTTTGGGATAAACAATTGTAGTTTCCAAGTTTAGATTTATTTTGTATTTTTATGGTAATTACAAGGTTGGTCAAATCAAATGAGTCTAAATATAAATATATGGAGAAAACAACAGATAAAATATAAAAATTTTCTGAAAAGAAACATTTGAAGGTTTTATAGCTTATTTATGCAAATGAAACTTGAAAATGTTCAAATAAAGAAAAGTATTTTTAATCTTAACATGAAAATCACTTTGCACTATGAGCAGTAAACACTCTTGACTCCATATATTTATGGACAAATTTGTATTCAAAATACTTAATTAAAAATTCTGATTTTATATCTTGCCACATTTTGTGAACATACAATAAGTACTTTCAGATTTATAGTATGTATATTTTCAGAGTTACAAGTTAATTACAAGATGGTTATTCGAGGTCGTGTAAAATACACGAGCCCATTGCAAAAGGGTTAAAGAATCACTGACATTTTTGAAAAGATTAATTTAATTATCTCAATACGTGCTCAGTCAATTTGACCGACCGCATGACCTCTTTGTACTTGATTAAAGTCTTTATAGATTTAATACTTCTAACTTTCAATATAGTACGTATATCTTCACAAGATTTAGCAGTCTTTCAGTTTATATTATAAGTCTTTCACATACAAAAAATCATATTTTTAGTGAAGTATTTTTAATAAAATAAAGATCTGTCCATGAATATATTGAGTATTTGTTTTGAACAGTCCATGTGCAAAGTTATTTTCATGTTAAAATTAAAAATACCTTTCCTTGTCTCAAAAATTTCAAATTTCCTTTGTGTAATCCCTAAAACCTTCTAAATGCATTTCAAATGTTTTTCAGTAAACCTTTATGATTTATATGTGATTTTCTCTACTCTAACTCAAAATTGGATCAAGCAATTTGACTGACCTCATAACCACCACACACACACACACAAAAGGAATAAACTTAAATTACCCTTTTCTTCTTTCTAGAATGACTTCAAATTGTAACATGAAACTACATTTGTTTATCCTAAGTTCATAATATTATACATCTATTTATAATTAAATTTTATTGTCTTCTGAACCATGTCTGTGCCTTAAAAAATTGTAAATCACTTGGATAATGTGAAGGTCACATTATGCTATCAAATTACATTACCAACGAGCTACTACGAGCTATAATTATATTATTATTACTTATTTTATTACTTAAATAACATAAAAAGATCCATATTTTTAGATTTTATTTACTTTTATAATAATAAATAAAGAATAAATACAAAAAATAGGAAATAAAGTACTTACCCAATCTTCTTTTTTCTTGCTCTTGATTTATAGTACTAATAGTAATGCACTTAATAATTTTTATTTAATTAGATAATGCACCAAATAATATAAACTAATAACATGCAAGAAATAGACAAATTCACTTACCTCTCAAAATTGTTCTGGTTTTCTGACTTTGTGACAAGAGCCATTACAAATTCATCCAAGCTAGTCGTTAACTTTCCCATGGGAACGATGTCGCTACTCTGAGTGAAATTCACTTGTAACTGTTCAGAACATTATGTTATACATCACTTGATTGATGAAAACCTTGACTTTCTATTGTTTATAGGTAATATATAATGAAACATAAGAGAGAACTATCAACGAATTGTGAAAGACAGGATGTGACAGGTGGGTGTGGCAGGAGGGGTCTGATTTTCTATTCGATAGCTCTGTAACCAAACAAAATTGAAGGCTATAAAAACATGGGTATGTTTGAGCAATAACGATTTTATAGAGTAATTTACGTTAATTTCGTACTTTTTCAAGGGGTGGTGGATAAAATAGGGATGATGACATGCTAAAAGAAAATGTGTCACGTGGGTCACACTAGTGGAAATTGAGCATTTGTAAAAATATTTCCTTATAGAATTAAACACTTAAAACTTGTATACTATTAAAATATGAATTATTAGCTAAAATTTTATGCTATTCTAATTGGTATAACATAAACAAACAGTCGTTTAATAAAATTTTGAATGTAAGACACTAAAACTTTATGTCATGCACAGTAAAGGATACCCGGAGTGATAGGGTTAAAATGAAACTGTATACACCTATCTAGAAATTAAATAGTTTGATATATTGGTGATAGCTTATTTTTATTTTCATAACATTAACATTGTATACCTGCTTCATATTGCTGGGCTGAACGGACATCTCCATGCTGAGTTATATAGTTCATCAAAGTTCTGAGAAACTCGTTGTGAGAGACCGTTTCACTGTCACACACTATTGCTAAGTGACGTTTTGCTCGAGTAACAGCTACATTAATTCTTCTGTTCTCAGCAAGGAAGCCAATTTCACCTGAAAAGATAAGTATGATTTAATAAGCTTTTTTTTGTTGTCCTCACTCAGGTATGGCAACTAGATTCATCATGATAAATTAGTTGCTTATTGTTTGTGTTTAAAAACCATTGTGTGCAACAAGAAAATGTTTTTACAGTTAGGATTATTGTCCTTAAACTTAACATGCACCACAGGTCTGAGAACCATTCCTTGTTTGTTACTTTCATTAGCAGTAGTGGTTATGCTATATATCAAATATCATTGCTTTTTAATGTTATCCTTTATTATTATACTTATTATTGAGATTGCTAATATTAGGATTGCAGATCACTAACAAGGAGGGTATCCAACTGATGAAACAGTATGTTCTAATCTTTACAAGTAGAAACATAAGAAAAGTATATTTAATTACTTATAATGATTGCAAGGATGAATTTTAGTTTAGCTCTAAATAGGTGTGCATGTAAAGAAAATCTACACTAAGTTATTTACTACCATACCAAATGTATAAAAAGCCACTTTTTTTAATTGGTAATCAGAAGGTTTCACTTAATATATATAATAATTTTTAAACCCATAGTATACGAATTAATATTTTTTTATGCTTACTTTTGGGGATTTTTTTTACCAATTTAAGAAGTTACTTAGGCTGTTAAGGTCTACTTATAGTACACAGCCTAACAAACAGTGGGTTTGTCAGCAAAGTGAGTGTGAAATGATCTAACTAAGCATACCTCTTTCTGTTCCATTAAAAACAGTTATTTTCCTATCCTGATGCAACATCATAGTATAACTGAAGTATACAATGAAAAAACTTTACAAAAAAAAGCAGGACTGTAATTGTGGAGAAAGTTGTTCACAAACATTTTTTTTTTCTCTAGCAACATAACCAAGCTAACCATTTATCATTTTAATCCAATCTCTACATGGATCTATTGAACTGGAAGCCATACTGGCTGATACAGTAAAATACTACATTACTTTACAGCACAAGTAACCAAAAATGCACTACATGCCAAACCATCTCTTATGATAGTGATTATGTACTATAACATGATTATTACCTTACCTATAGAATTGGAACGAACCAATGACAAAATCACCACTTCCTTTTCTTGGCCTTGGAATCCATCAACTGATTTGATCTCCAGTTTCAGATATTTGTTAGCAAGCCTCAACTTCAACAAATCAACCTAAAGAAAACGAATAAGCATTAAAAATGTCAGGAAGCCAACATGACAAAGATGAAAAATTCTGTTAGTATAGAATATTAAAATAAATTTGTTTAGAATATAATCTCCAAATTGTAAGAAACAATCATGGCTATGACTTTAAGAAAAATATTATAAAAAGTACCTGAAACTTATAAAAATTAACAGTGATAACTGCTTCAGGTGTGAACTCTAGCTAACAGAAAAACACATTTACCCTCTCACCATAACACAATATTTGGGACAACATGAGACCTATTGGTCCATTTCAGCTGTTCCATCCTCTAAACTGAAACTCTTAATAAATTAATTTTAAAAAATCTTAAAGCCAGCCCTTATAATTCATATACTTATCAAGTTTTCTATTAAACTCACTTAAATTTACTGCCTTCACAACATCCAAAAGCCAACCACCCTGTTAGAGAAATAAAACTTTATTAACTGAAGATGACTCCTACCCTGCCAAAATTTATAATCTTGTCCTCTAGGCCTACTATTCTCACCACGTGCATCCTTTTGTGCACGTCACAAGGTTATAGTGAGTTACATTCAAAATTTAATTTAATTACTTCCTTATCATGGTATACCAATATATATATATATTATATAGTATGTAGCTTATTATCCATATTTTAATACTATATAAGTTAAGTTCTTAATTTTAAAAGGCAATATTTTTAAAAATCCTGAATATCCCTAGCATGAGACTTGTGACATTTTCTCTCTAGGCATCCCCTTGAAGATGTACAAAATTTAATGCAGATTACTCATTTGAAAATGTTGTCATCACTCAGGCAAAGCATAACTTTTATAGTCTTCTATCTTATTTTATTACAGAGCCATCAAACATAAAATCAGACCTTTCTCACCATGCCCACCGATCATATCCTCTCTTTCAGAACTTGCCAATAGTTTTTCTGAAGTTCAATATCATATTATTTATAACCAATAGAAAATCAAGAATTTACTCTATCAATTGACAAATTATGTTACTTTGTTTTCTGCACAGAGAATTGTTAGTTTCACTTCATGTACTGTTGGTGGAATTTAACATGATTTGTCATCATCATAGGCCAGACCCCAACCAGATAGCCAAGGTTCTACTACGTTGGTGGCTAAGTTAATTGGACCACAATATATATATATATATATATATACTTATGAGTGGATCCCAAGGTGTAGCCATAGAGTGATGCATTCGAAGTCACTGGAATCACAATGAGAAGGTAAGCAACACCGAAGTGGACAAACCTTTTCCTCAACTTGAAGAAGTCTGAAAGGTAGCACTCCAGACTTAGAATGATGGGATCATATATGCCTTACTCAAACTGAGGAAACAGAACTCATCTGGTCTGGAATTATGAATACTTATCCTCACTCCTTAACCATGTGGGCAAGATAAATTCCACTCGGACCACGCTCAACCCAACCAGATAACCGAGTGTCAAATCTGAACTGGTATTACAAGTAGGTTCCCATGTAGACTGGTGCCTCTCCTACCAACATCTGAGAAAAAAACATTCAGGGACCTGAGTAGGAGTGCCCCAATTTTGCCTTCTTCTCCAAGAGTGGAGGAATTTACTTTAACACTCTGAAGGAAAAGCCTCTGTCCAACACCTCAGTGACTGGAAACTGGGTGTGATAAAGACTAATAGAATCTGTGGGGTAAAGTGCATTTGGGAGTCCTGAGGAACAGTGCTCTGGAAATAGTGCAACAGGTGAACCAAGTTCCCTAAATTTTTAAAAGCAAACCAACCCCGATTTATTTAATCAAATGATTGGCAGGATCCACTTATGCTTTACTCATGATAGTTCATGAGTGGCAGTCCAGCATAGTACAATAATACCAGCCAGTCAGCATCTAAGAAAACCCCATTTCTATAGAACCTGTTGCAACCTAGATAAAGAACATTGAATTTGTGGTTGGTAGTGCGGAATTGGTTTGATAAAAGCACACCTGCCTCGGTAACACCTTGTCACAGAGTAGAATCCTGTGAAAACGAGGTAAGGGGCCCTGAAAGGTAGCAAAGAAAATACTCACCCCTCTCTATAATCTTGCAGAAGTGGTTAAGATAGCTACAGGAGGTAGAGAAAAACCCTCAGAAGACAAGACTGCCAGATCGTGCAAATAATGTGAGTTAAAAATAGTGTGGGAGGACCAAATCCCAGTCTGCATTATGTCCTCAAGCAAGCAATTCAACCGGGCCACTACAGACAAAGAAATGTGACAAATCTGATTAGAAGTGACTTACAGAAGATTCCTTGCCTTCAAAGAGAGCCCAGAATAAAAAAACGTTGTCTAAAGGCATTAATGTTTATACCTTTCAATTATGCATTTTAAAACATAAATAATACATAAATAACTAAAATATAAAAGTAAGACCTAAATACAATTTAACTCTATCTTGAAATATAACACTTAGGTAAGAAACAACTGTAAGTGCTATAGTCAATCAAGTAGCCAAGAATACTACAGGAACCTACATGTTTCCTGTGAAGAAAATTGTGCATCAATTTCAAAACATTGTTGGAATATAGTATAAAATGAGTTCTTTTTAGTGACTATATACATTTGTATGTAACCTCTACATACAGGCTTTAAAACTCAAACAAATCTATTGAAAGTGGGCATGGTACCAGTCAGTGGTTGACAAAATTTATTACTTATTTCAACTGCTTTCATGCAGAAAACTTTGAAATATATGTGTCAATAGTTTAATAAACATCTTATTGTCTAGACATATATCTACAGAACTGGCATTGTATTATTGAAGATACAGAGTGCCAAAGTAGAGAATTTTCATTGCTTGTGGGTCACATGACAATACATCTGAAGTTTTAAGTGTTTTTTAAAGGTTTCTTTTGAAATACAGTAATTAAAACTTAGATAACATAAAACTTTAAATCATAACATACATCATAATGTTAATTTCATTCACATACATTTGTGCAGAAGTGTTTAAATGGGGTACCCATGTCAAAAGGGTTAAACAGAGTGTAATGTTAATAACATCTGAAGAAGTTAAAGAAAAAAACTGTATAGTTATAAACAAATCAATAACATATATATGTTCATATAGTAATAGGAGGAAGAACTTGTATCATTATATTTTATTAAGTTGGTCCTTATGACAGAACAGATAGGCAAAATAACTGTTAAGTGTTGCTGTCTGTGTATTCCATGGAACCTATTTGAGACAAACTTTAGCTTTATGTAATCAGTGAGATTGATTTACAGTACTGTCATGTGTATCATGCTTGTCAACAGAATCCCAGTTATGAAAGTATTCGTGGCATAGCTTATAAGACTAGGCCTACACCCCTCTTACTTCACAGCATTTCATAGGTTCATGCCCGGTGTTCAACAGCTCCCTCCTTCAACACAAGTGTCCTTTCCATAAGTCGGTCTAAAACAATTTAAATAAAGGTCTCATACATCATAATGATTTTTCTTTTCGAACTACAGACACTACTCAAAGACTAGGCCTACACCCCTCTTACTTCACAGCATTTCATAGGCTCATGCCTGGTGTTCAACAGCTCCCTCCTTCAACACAAGTGTCCTTTCCATAAGTCGGTCTAAAACAATTTAAATAAAGGTCTCATACATCATAATGATTTTTCTTTTGGAACTACAGACACTACTCCACAGTTGCAGTTCATCCAGGGTGTTTTCTTACCAAAGGGTATGTAGAATACTTTTACAGTTAAAAGTGTCAAGAAGAATAACTGACATTAGAAAATGAATGACAACTAGCATGTAATGTTGAACCAACAATAAAAACAATTTCCATACTTATAAAAACCTAACTTAGATACTGATATAAAATTCATCCATACACTAACACGGTATCTCAAATTGGATTAAATAATAACAACAACAACAAAAAAACTTTTAGAATAATCAAAGTTCAATGAGATTAAGTGTATCTTGATAAAATCTAATTATGCATACTGAAGGAATTGTTCTCAGAAATCTGATGTTGGACATTAATCTGAAACAAAACTCACAAACTCCATAGTTACTTATATACATCAGCAGAAGAAATGAAGAGTTTATTTGTGAGTGTAAAGTCAGGAATACAAGACAGTAAAGTTTCAGATCAGAAAAATCCAAATATACAAGAGCAGTTATGTTTACAAATGAACTTACCTGCAAGTTATAAGGTGCAATAATGGCTATGTCTTCAGGCCTAATACCACTTGCTATTAACTTGTCTACATGTAAGGTCACAAGGTCAGCTTCACCTGGAAATATGAAACACTTTTTTCATATATATAATATGCTAAATGTACAGAATCTACCTTTTTAAAGAAATTTTAATATGTAAAGTTAGCCAAGTATAAAACTGTTCTTTTCATAACATAATTAAAAGTCATATTAGGCCTGAACAAAACTTGTTTAATATTAGAAGAAGAAGCTAAGCAAAACTGTGAATAAGTCATGGATAGTGATGAAAGGATGTGGTAGTTTTCTAACTTCAATCAAAATTATTCTATACTTGTGTATTTTATGTCTGTATTTCAAACATATTTTGAAGCCATGTGTAATATAAGATGATCATCATCACATGCCTATGTTAAACAGTGTACTGTTTGCATTAATAACATCTGAAGCAGTTACTGAAAAAGTTATAACATATATCTGCTAACACAGTAATAGATGTAAGTACTTATGAGAAACACTGATTGACATGTTTAAACTTCAATGAATTTAAAGAAATCGACTTAGGGTATAGCATGCATTTACTTGTCATTGGAGTCACAGCTGCAAACAAAATTATAAAACTATTCTCATTCAATTTTTGCATTTTAGTAATAAGCCATCTTTAATTACACCTTCACCACATGTACTATTTAGGACTTTAGAAAATTTATTTGCTTAATCTAAAATTACTTCATTGGTACAAGCTAAACACAGAAGCTAAAAAATACATAATGTCTGGAAATATTTGTGGTGAGCCTGCTACAAGCCTCATTTAAAAACTTGCTCCACCATACCTTCTTGATGCATGTGTAAAAGAAAAAATAAACTCAATACAAATATAAAATTTAATGAAATCAAAATCATGAAAAATACTGTTAGAGAATTTGTGCATATTTAAAATGACAATAACTCTGTATTAAATTGAATGTTTGAAAAGATTTATTCCTTGGCTAGTACAGTATCACTACAGTATCATTTTGCAAAATATTTTTAGTATCAAAACTTGGTATTCTAAGGACTTTCAGAGGATCTTTCCTCGCTCATAGATAAATTGTGACTATGGCCATAACATTCAATAACCTAAAATATTTGAACAACTGTGCTTTATATGTTTTTGAAATGTCATGGCTGTACACTAGTGTATTTCCTATATAAAGTGAAAGCACACTGTAGGAGCTTGCAGAGATTCACACACCTCTTGAATATGTCCTGAAAGCGAGATGTCAGGAAACCTACATATACAGGATACACATCATTTGCTGAATCCATGTTTTAACCCCTAAACTTCTATTATCGTCAACTGATGATTTATTATAAGCTGCTAATATCGTCAATTCAGATGAAACAAGATAAGAAGATATGGCATACAGGTGTCAAAACCCTGTGGTTCTGGTTTTTAACATACAAATTAAAGTCAAACCAGAAAGACAGATGATAAAACACTTCAATAACTTGTGATTTATAAGATAGGCAATTAACATAACAAGCTTGTTTTTGTGGTCTTTTTTTAAAATCATATAAGAATTATACAGCTATAAACAGGAAGAGAACATATATTTAAGTGACTTTGCAATAACCAGGAAGTAATTATTTGATTTTAAAAATGGAATACAGTTATTATCAACTTTCTATAGCTTATTTTAAAAATACAAAAATATCTTAGCTGGAGTTAAATTAGTTGTAAGCCTAAAAGCAGCAATGACACATCTCTGTCAAGGAATTTACATAATTAAACTTAATGTCACCACAAACAACTGACATTTAAGAATGATCAATTTCAGACAACAAAAAGTTCTCCTTATTATCAAATGGAAAAAATTTTACCCTAGTTATCAAACACTTAAAGTTTAAGCCACATTTTATTTAAAACTATTTAAATGGGCCCATATAAAATACACAAGCTACTGATAATAATGTACATGTGAAACTATACACATAACTGAGTATTCTTAATGTATCTTCACAAAAATTGGAAATATTACAGGTATTTTGTACACATAGAAAATTATTTTTTTTGACTAATTATTTCTACTAAAGATTTGTTTTTGAATTTATTTTAGTTTCACTTAGATTCTGACTAGTCTAAGTGCAAGGTGAATTTATTTTAGTTTCACTTAGATTCTGACTAGTGTAAGTGCAAAGTGAATTTATTTTAGTTTCACTTAGATTCTGACTAGTCTAAGTGCAAGGTGAATTTATTTTAGTTTCACTTAGATTCTGATTAGTCTAAGTGCAAGGTGATTTTATTTTAGTTTCACTTAGATTCTGACTAGTCTAAGTGCAAGGTGATTTTCATAATAAGGTTAGAAATAATTTTTTCTTTGTACAATTCTTGAATTTCATTTGCATAACCACTAGAACCTCCTAAATGAATGTCAAAAGTTTTTTAAGTTAACTGTTTATATTTCATTTTTTATTTTCTCTACTATATGACTAACTTATCACTGATCATTAATATACAGTGTAATGAAATTTTTAAAATTAAGAAACAAAGATATGTACATATCTTTTAATTATTCATTGAATAATCTTAAATATCTTCTTTTGGTTATATTTGTAATTTCACCTCCTTACCTTTTCACATATATTTACTTACTTTATTTTAAATGTTAGAGTTTTCTTGTCTGTCCTTTACTGTTTATCATTCTTCTTGATAGAGAAAATCCTAGCATGTTACAGTACTATCGGCAGAGCCTCGCAAGCCTTCGGTTAATTGTTTTTGCACTCACATAATAACTTAATCCTTGTGAAAGGAGGTGAACTTGGTCTTATAATAAGGAAATTAAACCTTTCAAGTATGATTTTTAAAACTTAAATAATATCAATTCACTAAAATCCAAAAGTAAAATTTAACTATTTATCCAACTAATATTTATCTAGGTAAGAAAAAATGACATACTGCTATGGAAGACAAAACAACTTCACTACTATTAGAAGTTAGTCATACTTCATAACAAATACTGCCTGCCAATTTCAAAATGACCATTGGGAACTTAAGAGGTGGGTGTGGCTTCTGTCATGAGGTGTCAAAATATATTTCTTGTGTTAAGCAAATTAAACTGAAGGAGTTTGAAACAAGCACATGTATATAATGCAATAAATGGAGATTGTGTCTAGAAATACATACGCAGTCTAGATCTAGTATTGTCAGACTTATAGAAACTAAAAGTTGAGAAGTGTGAACACTGGTACAACACGTGACAACAATACTGAAGTTGAAGTATTTTTTAATGGTTTCTTTTGAAATATAGGAATTAATTTTTAGATAATATAAGGCTTTGAATTACAAACTACAATACAATGCTCATTTCATCGACAAAAATTAATAGTAAAGTTGTTTAATTAAATTTTGAGTGTAACTAAAACCTCATCACGTGCAGAAACGAATACCTGAGTTCAAAGAATTAAAGTAAAAATACATATCTAAAAGTTAAAAACAAGAAGAATTGAATACCTGATATTCTTGACTTCCTTCTAGAAATCAGAAACCACAGTAGTAAAATTAAAAAAAAATATCACATTAATCGCAGACATAATAGAAACAGATGCCAATGCCAACCCCAATAGTAAATGTGTAGATGTGGAAAGTATTATGTAAGGTGCTCAATTAATACAGGTTAGTTTCAAACTGTTTTGTATTCAGACACTTTTTTTTCCAATATCACCTTTTTTTAAGAATATTAATGTGTATGCTCAGTATCACACAATATTCCACATATTATAAACGGCCCATCATAAACGATAAAGCATTTAAAATATATAGCCTGGGTTAATGACTATCTATATATTTTTCTCACTAACATTTCCTACCATAAGCATAAAGTAAGGTTAAACTAGAAGTTATAATAACCAGTATGTACAAAACAGTAAATTATATTTGTTTCAGCTTAGAACTAAATATTACCTTCATTTCCTTTTGATTCCTTGTCTGTAAGCTCCATCTCCCAGTGGCCACAACCAGTTGTATCAATCAACAACAGTGGGATAGATGTGTCTTCATTCTCTTCAACACCTGGAAGATCTCTGAAGAGAACATATTGAATCAAATATTTAATGTTGCTGAAGCTATTACTTATAGAAAAAATACATTAATGCTATTCATTAATCTTAATAAGTTTAAATTTAATTTACATTTTTATAAATACATGTTTCTGTTAAGTCACTGAGGAAGCACAAAACTATCACAGATTTAATAAAAAAGGGCACCCCATTTCTCTCTTGAACATAAATTTTTCATACAATTCTCAACAAGATGTGCTATCATAAGTATAATTTTCTTTAGTACAAGGCTTAACTATGGCTAAAAGTAATGACATTCTATAGCTGGGAGAATTTTTCTTTATGTTACAATAAAAGGACAACACGAGATAATAGCTCACATAATCAGACTAGCTGAATAAGAAGACTGACAGTTCAGTTTAACAGGTATTCAGTTCAAGCCAGGATACAAATTGAAAAATATATTTAAAAGAAGTTTAGTACAAAGTATTGTAAAAGTTTAAAAATGTACAACTCACCTGAGTAGATGAGATGCTACTGATGGATGGCTAATTAGCCTGTGTTGATACATATGTTCTGAAGCCCAATTCATTATGTCTTGATGCATACGATACTGGACAGTTAGCATTTTAGTGACCTTTTCTCCATACAGTTCTAACAGTCTTTCCATTAAACTGACAGAAAGGCCTGCTTTTTCGGCTCTACATAATTACCAAACAAAAAACACTTCAACTTTTTTTTTGAAGAAATGGTGGTTCTTTTTTTTCATGAACAACTATATGCTGGGGTTTAAACCAACTAACACATTTTTCTCTAATATGTCAAGTTTTCTATTTTATTCTAGAGAATGGTCTGACTGCAGATTTGTTCAAGGAACCAGACATTATTTGAAAATTATACTGTCAAGTTGGTTCCAATCTTCTCGAAAGTCTTTCAAAATCAATCATACATAGGTAATTATATAAAAAAAACTATTTGAAACAAAGATCTAGAGAACAACAGTCCAAAGATGACATTATGTACTTTGACAAATGTCTTGGAAAAAAAATTATATGATTTCAAGCAGTTTTTCTCAACTTTGCACAAACAGAATAAGACATTCTATAACTGACAAATACTGCCATTAAAACACTTGGAGTTAAAAAAAATGCAATGCACATGTGCATACACCTATCATAGAAATGCACAGTTATTTAAAGAAAATGAATGATAAAACTATATTTAGGTAGCAAAGTACTTTTAATAAATTTCCTTCAACACAAATTTTTCAAGATTTGGCATATAAGAAACCAATGTATTTTTTCAGTCACAAGTTCTTTCTGGCAATTTTGGATAAAGAAGATTCATAACTACATATCGCTCTTGCCACAAGCATCCTTTTGTGCAAGCAATGAGGTTTTAGGGAGTTACATTAAAAATTTAATTAAACTACTTTCTCATACCATGCTATACCAATAAATATAGCACAAAACATAGCTAATTATCCATATTTTAATAGTATATAAGCTTTAAATTATTAAATTTATAAGGAAATATTTTTAAAAAATCCAAAATATCCCCCTAGTATGAGAATTGTAACATTTTCTCTCTAGGCATCCCCTCTTCTCTAATTAATTTACCACCCCTCTGAGAAGTAGGAATTTTAATATATATTACTCATTATAATATTGTTATCACTTAGGCAAACCAAAATATTTCAGGTCTTCAATCTTATTTCGTTACAAAGATATTAAATAGAAACTCAGACCTCTCTTTCCATGCCCACTTCTCATATACTCTTTTTCAGGAATTGCCAATGGTTTTCCCTGACATTTAATACTATATTATTCATAACCAACAAAAATATGCTGACAACATTTTAACTATCTGTTTGTCGGAAGTGTTAATGTTAAGTTTTTGAAAATTAGTTCTTTTTCATTTTGAAATTTCTGTAGTTTTCTTCCTAGAATAAATGTTGACAATAATTGTATTCATGGTTTAACACATTACATTTTAGGTGATCAGGGAACCAGTGGTGTTTCCAAAATTTATTTTGCCAAGCAATTAAAAAAAATTACAGACCTACCTACCCAAATTTTAAATCACTTTAGGGTTACAGCAAATAAAAATATTTTTAAGCCTGGCCTTAATCAGCATAGTACTGGTAGCATGCAAGTTGAGTTCAGTCTCCTATTGGCTTATCGTATAAGTCACATCATCTCCAAACAAAATTTATTATAGCTTGTATTGCCTCTTCATGGTGCTGATTATTTCCCCCTTTCCCTGATGATTAAACTTTATTATAAATGAACTTAAGTTTCTTCTTATTGCATGGTTGTTTATATAAAAATGTATCTTAGTAGTTACCATGCTCACACTATGAATCTGAGGGATCATTGTTTGCAAAAATGTGCTCTGTGCTTTTGGCTATGGCATGCAGTCAAAATTAGAGATAGCTATGTGCACATAACCTTGTACAGCTTTGCATGAAAATTTTGAAACAAAGAAAATCATATTAAAATGCACTTGATCATACAGTTACTTTTAGGTACTTCTTTGCCTAATTAGTTTAGTAATGATTTACCATCATAGAAAGCTCAGTTAAGTCCCCTGTAGATACATCTTTTATATCACTAATTCTTGAAAACTGAAATAAATTTTAATAAGGTGTAGTGAGTCTCAAGAAAGAAACAGTCAGACTATCTCTGACTGTGGCTGATGGGAATTCTAGATCAGAGTTAATTTTAGTATCATTTACTGTACATGTCACGTGGTTTTTCCTAAATGTATAAATTACTTTTTGTTTATGTTATACCAATTAGTATAGCATAAAATCACAGCTAGTTATCCATATTTTAATAGTATATAAGTTTTAAGTTATTAATTTTATAAGGCAATATTTTCAAAAAATCCAAACTTTCCCCTAGTATGAAAATTGTGATATTTTCTCTCTAGGCATCCCCTCTTCTCTAATTTATTTACCACTCCTTCAAGAAGTACAAAATGTAATGTAAATTACTCATTATAATGTTGTTATTGCTCAGAAAAAAACATAATTTTTATAGTTCTCAATCTTATTAGTTACAGATCAATCAAATAGAAAATCATTAGACATCTCTTGTGACACTCACCTATCACATCCTCTCTTTCAGAAATTGCCAATAGTTGTCTCTGACATTCAATACTATATTATTTATAACCAATAGAAAGCCAAGGTTTTGCTCTATCAAATGTATTATTATATTACATTGTTTTCTGTACAGAGAATTGTCAGTTTTGCTTCCAGTTCAAATTTTATTCTCATGGTAAACACATTGACGAGTTTAGCTGAATTTTTAACAGCTCTTGTCACACAATTAGAAATCCAGAAACATTGTGATAGCTATAGGACATATTTTGCTTTTTGCATGTTAGTATTCTGTGTTCTTTGGAGCATTATTTAATTAAAGAAAATTATTTGGTGCAGTAGAACCATTAGTATAAAAAAAGTAAGGATAAGTGTCATCGACAGCAAAGAAAAGTATGTTCAACTTGTTTTCCTTCAGTATCTCACAAAATACAAGGTTTACATTCTTCTGAAATGTTTTCTTCATCTCCCATTCCTTCCTTTTATTGTTTCCTATTCCTTTTGCAGTTTCTTTCTTTTGATATTGGCTTCACATTGGACTCAGTCAATTAGGGCGAGTTCATGAGCCAAGATGACTTTTATAGTTTTAATATTAATAACCTTGAATATGTTCTGATTATCTTCACAAAATTTCACAAGTTTTCAGTAAGGATTAAATGTCTTGTATAAAAAAAATCAGAATTTGTAATGAACTATTTTCAGTAAAAATTTTTCCATGAATATATGGAGTCAAAGTGCAAAGTGATTTTCATGTTAAGAATAATACTTTTCTTCAAGTGAAAATTGTTAAATTTTATTTGCATAATCTCTAAAACCTACTATATAAAATTAAAACGTTTTTTCTGTAAAACTTTATATTTGATCTGTTATTTTCTACACACTAATTCTGTACCAGGTCAGTCAATTTGACCAACCTCGTAACCACCATAAAAATATGAAATAAATTTAAATTGCCCTTTTTTCTTTCTAGAATGAATTTAAATTGCAACATGATACATTTGTTTATCTTAAATAGCTTAAAACTAATAACAGTACACATCTGTTTCTACCAAAATTTTATTATTTTATTGCCCATTGAAAAGTGTCTAACTAATAATCCTGCCATACAAGTTGTAAATCACTTGGAAAATGTGTAGCTCATGTTACCCTATCAAACTACATAAGGCACAGGCTACTCGTGAGCTACTCATGAGCTTATCTCACAAAAATCTTTTATTAATATTATTTTTATTTATTTTACCTAATCTCACCCTATTTAATGTAGTAAGTTTTAATTTTTACATTTTAGTTACTTTCATAATAATAACTAAAGAATACACATGGATAACAAGAAATATAATACTTACCTGGATCTCCTTTTTTTTTGCTGTCTACTAAATAATTTTTTATTTAATTAAGTAATTCACCTAAGAATGAAGAATCATAGCATGTAAAAAGCAAAAAATATCGAATAACTATTATAATTTTCCTGGCTTTCTAACTACACAATAAGAGCCGTTAAAAATTCAGCTAAGCTCACTGATGTGTTTTCCTTAGGAATAAAGTTTGAACTGGAAGTGAAATAGACGATTCTCAGTACAGAAAAATATGTAATATCTCTTTTGATAAATTAGAACTTTGGCTTTTTGTTATAAATAATATAGTATTAAATGTCAGTGAAAACTATTGGCAATTTCTGAAAAAGAGTACATGAGAAGTGGGCATGGAAAGAGGGGTCTGATTTTATATTTAATGGCTCTGTAACCAAATAAGATTGAATACAAGAAATATTTTGGTTTGCCTAAGTGATAACAATATTATAATGAGTAATATATATTAAAATTCCTACTTCTCAGAGGGGTGGTAAATAAATTAGAAAAGAGGGGATACCTAGAGAGCAAATATCAATTCTCATAGGTTGAGATTGAGGATTTTTAAAATATTTCCTTATAAAATTAAGAAGTTAAACTTGTATAATAGTAAAATTTGATTTTTTAAGTATGATTTTATGCCACTCTTATTCATATACCATGAAAACGTAGTACAATTACATTTTGAATGCAACTCTAAAATTTCATGCCACGTATACTTTGACTTGCTCATAGCAAGTGGAATATTTTGCTAATGACCTCCTCATGCAGTTAAGCCTTCATTTACAATATTAAGGTAGTAAAATTGAAAATTAAAAGTGGTCCAGCCAGATCTTCACAGTTTGTTACATGTGAGATACATCTTCCTTATGGGTGTTATTTGTTTGTGTGTGTGTGTGTATATATATATATATATATATATATACACACACACACACACACAC